TAGCCACTACAATCACCCAAACACACAGAAAGGCTAACAATACTTCAGACACAGTTGGAGTCTTGATAACAATGAAACATGCCTTCAAAAGAGTTTTACTTAGGAGAACAATTTTGAGAAGACGGCGCCAAAGGTTACTGTTCTGATTCTTTGAATTGAAGGTGAACGATTCTCTGACAGATGCACATGTTTAAATACTCACCCTGAGGGAGAGAACTTGCTGTTGTTGTCCGTCACAGGCGTGGAAGGATGTCCAGCGATGTCAGCTATCTGAGATAAGATAAAACAGAAAGAATATCATTAGTCGAAAGCTCCTCACGACATGCTGATACCTCTTTTTTTTGTGCATGTTCTCTATGAACATTGAGTGCTGCCGCGGACATGTGTGGGCTAGAGTGTGTCTTGCATAACTATTATGTGTATGGCTCGTAGGTGAAAGCAATAAACTTTGAAACAACAAAGTGCACCTGGATTCTGCTGAGTTTATGTGTGTGTATGTGTGTGTGTGTGAGTGCATGCACAAACAGGCAGTACAGTAAAAGTGATATTACCCCCCTTCACACACACACACACACACACACTCCTCTCAAGTTGAAAGGTGCAGTGCCTGGAAGGCTGAAGCTCTCAACGCCAAGTAAATCACACCATTTACCTGAAACGATTGATTTCTAATGTAGGTTCATTCAGCTTTCGGCGTTGTGTGGCGTTGGAGTCATTTATAGACCGTTAGCATTGATATTTGTGTTAATTACACAGCAAGAGAAATACTGTACAATACCACTACAGCTGCGACAGATTGCAGAGGACATGTTTACTATATACACCAAGTTTAGAGTAATAGGTGAAAAAGAATATGAATTCTCCTCATTGAAGAGAACTGTAGGGGCTGCTGAGGGCATGAGGGGCACAAAACGGCCTGGATGTTTCCTTTTCAATACTTTTTTTCCTCCCCTTTATTCTCCTAGAATCCCAATGACCCCTACAGGCAACCGACGACTGCTGAATCCTGAGGAATGTGCTCTCTGAACTGTACGAAAAGCCCTCCGCGCAAACAGCACAGCTGAAAACAAAACATGCCAACTGCTATAATTTTTCACCGTTTTGAGTTTGTGGAAAATGTTGCACAGATTGCTCGGAATAGAGCGAGGCGGAGGGTGGGAGGTGGGGGTGGGG